TGGCTTCAGCTTCAAGACATTGGTTCTAGTTATCCATTTCTAAGCTAGACTAAAGAGACCATTAGTATCTGGTATCTCCCTGTGAAGATATTATACACTGTAAACAAGTCACCTCTCTGTTTGATAGTGTAAACAGGTTGTGCTTCTTAAATCTGTTATTGTAAGGCATTTTCTCCTGCTCTCGAATAATTTTTGTGGTTCTTTTCTACATCTGCTCCAATATTTCAACATCCTTTTTAAAATATAGACACCAGAACTAGATGAAGTATTTTAGTATCAGTCTCACCAACACTATGTACCTTTCTACTCCTATTCACTGCCCCCGTTTATACATCCAAAGATTGTGATATTCCTTTTTGCCACAGCATCACACTGGAAGCTCATGTTGAGTTGCCTGGCCACTATGACCTCTAGATCCTTTTCAGAGTCACTGCTTTCCAGGATACTGATCCCCATTCTGTAGGTATGGCCTACATTCCTTGCTCCTAGATGAAGAACACTACATTTGGCTGTATTCAAATGCATTTTGTTTGAATGGGCCCAACTTACCAAGCAATTCAGATCTCTTTGTACGATTTCCCTGTGGGTATCATTATTTACCACTTTACCAATATTTCTGTCATCCGCAAATGTTATCAGCAGTGATTTTATATTTACTTCCAGATCACTACTAATCAACATTTTCATCCTCAGGCCTAGTACTGATCCATGCAGACCCCTGCTAGAAATACCTGTTTGGATGACGATTCCCCTTGACAACTACCTTTTGAGGTCTGTCAGCCAATTCTTAATCCATTTAATGTGTGCTTTTAGCGATACTGTAGAATGCTAATTTTTTAAATCAGAATGTCATGAGGTACTAAGCCAAACATTTTAGAGAAGTCCATTACATCTGAACAGTTACCTTTATCATCCAAACTTGTAATCTTTTTAAAGAATGAAATCAGTTTTTTTTACAAGACCTATTTTCCATAAAAACCATACAGATTGGCATTAGTTATATTACTGTCCTTTAATTCTGTATTAATTGAATCCCATAGCAACTTTTTAATTCTTTTGCCCAGGACTGATGTCAGGCGTATCAACCTATAGTTACCCTGGTCATTCTGCTTGCCCTTTTTTAATATTGCCACAACATTAGGATTCCTCCAGTATCCTAGAATTTCCCTGATATTCCAAGTTTTTAAAAAATGAACATCAGTGGGCTAGAGATCACCTTACCCAGCTTTTGCTGGGTGCAAGTTATTCAGAATTGCTAATTTGAAAATGTTTACCCCAATAGATGTTCTTTAACATCCTCACTGGTTACTAAATGGATGGGAAAGCACTTTGTCATCCTTAAGGGATAAAAACACATCACTCTGCTTCTTTCCACCTAGGGGATAGAAATGTTTATTGATCACTTCTGCCTTTTCTGCATCATAATGAACAATTTTACTATCTCCATCTGCTAAAGGGCCTATGCCATTGCTAGGATTTCTTTTTGTACCTAATATACATTTATAAAGTCCTTATCCCTGCCAGCCATGGACTTTTCCCTGATGTCTTTAACTTTCCAATTTTCTATATTTCATAGCTTCTCATTTATATTGACTACTCCCTCTTTCCCCTTTTTCTCTATTGTTATATGTTGCTTTATATTTCTAATTGTTGCTTTCACGTTGCCACTGAACCAAGCTGAGCTTTTAGCCCAAGTTGTTCTCTTTCTTCATCATGGAATCATGGCTTTTTTGGACATCTAATAAATGCTTATTAAATAACTCCCAATTTTAGCGTTCGAGTTTGGATGGTCACATATTGAAAGAAGAAAATTACTGCTCTGTGCCCAAGGCTAGATGGACAGAGGGACAAACATGCTTCAATTCCAGCCAAAAGAGCTGCTTAAAATTCTTAGGACAATTTTCACACTGAAAACAGTGACCACAACCCTAAAAATGCCACCCTTACACTAGACCAGGGGTTCTCAAACTTCATTGCACCGTGACCCCCTTCTGACAACAAAAATTACGCTGTGACCCCAAGATTGGGGGGGGAGGGCAAAACCTGTTTTCGCTCCGGGCATAGGGAGGGGAGCCTAAGCTTGAGCCCTGCCACCCAGGGCTGAAGCCCTGGGGTTTTGGTCCAGGGTAGTGGGGCTTGGGCTTTGGCCCTGAGCCCCAGCAAGTTAACACCAACTCTGGCGACCCCATTAAAACAGAGTCACAACCTACTTTGGGGGCCCAACCCACAGTTTGAGAATTGCTGTGCTAGACAATTGGCTGATTTCAACACAGGAAATTGAAACAGTGTATTCATACTCATGCATAATTTATTATAGAGGTGGCTGTCACCATTTCATAGTTGAAAGGCCTTTTGAGAGTCATGAATGAAAATATTTGTGATTAATCCACGCAAGTTGGGGGTTTGTTTCTTTGTTCTTTGGAGAGTTTCAGAAGGCCAATATAAGTCTTCTTTAATGGCCAGAAGATGCCTTGAAAATGCCTGGGAGGGGGGGAGGAGGGAAGCGGGGGACAAGAAAAAAAAGAAACACATACTGATGAGTTCAGCCAGCCCTGCCTTTAAACACAATGCTCTATGAAGTCCACAGTTCAAACATAAGTAGATTTTTGGACCTCTTCATGCACAGGTTATTAGAATGTTGACTTTAAAACAAACAAGTTATTAATATACTTTGTTGTAATGGAATGGATTTCCACCACCAACTGAAGTTGTTTTCATTACTAAGCGATTAATTCAAAGTTTTCTTTATCACCATGTTGCTCCAACTGCTGCCCCAGCTTCCTCCTAAATACTTATGTTCAAATTACTTGTACATTATTGTTCCAAGAACAAGCAATACAAACACATCTTGCTGATCATGAGGAGCAAAAAAAGACAAACCAAAATGTACCATGTAAGAACATTGATAAAAGGGAAGGAGAGGCACATGCACTTTCTGCTTAGTGTGCAGCTTTGATCAAAATGCTAGTATTCATAAGAAATAGAAGAGGAAAAAATACTGAAATCAGTATAATGTTATCAGTTTTATCTCTGGTTTGGTACCTTCATTTTTTGTTCCATTCCCCACCCTCAAATCTCAAAAAAGATACAGCAGAAATAAAGAGTCTCTGAAATGAGGGTGACAAATATGACCAAGGACAGTCTTCGGTATGAAAAGAGACAGAAAACATTAGAATTATTTACTTTAGGGAGGAAACAATTAAAAGGTGATATTAAAGAAATAAAATACTTATTGGCACAGGAAAGTTTTGGACATTACCTTTACTCATAACACAAGAACAAAGGGATGTTCAATTAAAGACAAGTTCAGAAATAAAAGACAATTATTTTTTACACAACACAGCTTGTGAAACTCATTGTCACAAAATAGCATAAGCTGATTAATTTAGAGGATTAAAAAAGGAGGAGGCATTTCCATAAAGGAGAAGGGTTATTAACTTCCTGCTTCAGGTGGTAAGCTCCTAAATGACAGGGATAGGAAGAACCTTCCCCTATGGACTGCTTATTTCAAAATGTGACTATAAGGGTTCATGCAGTTTCCTCCAAAACAGCTGGTACTGTCAGAGACAGAATTCTTGACTAGATGGCTTACTGGTCTGACCCAGTATTGCCGTTCCTGTCTTCCTATGCAAAACATTAAATTGCTTGTTACAAATCAAGGCTCTGTTTCCAAAGACATAGAGCTTGACATAGAGCTGTGTAGGAAATCCATCAGGTGTATGTGTGCGTGTGTCACAACACTTAGGAATTTAAAAATATTTGACCTGGCATTACGACATAATGTAAGTTTATAAGTCACAGCTAAGACACATTGCTGAATCAACATTTGGCGTGGAAACAATCTTCCTGTAAGGAATAATGTTAAGTCAATTTATTCAGAATGTACACATACTGAACTCTTCTTTCATGCCTTGCTGGTTTTAAAGATAGAAAATTAAAAACAAAATTATGTTATGCAGCTCAACTTCAAGCACTAACAAAATAGGGAGAGGCCACTGTGAAGCTGAAACTTTCACCTGCCTTGTTTTAATTCTGCTTGCAATGTCCATACAGAACTTCATTTGCAGCAGTCTCTCAACATAAGTGATTTGATACCCTTTCCCCTAAAAAAAAAAAAAAAGTTAAAAAAAATTCAGCAACAACAGACCAATGGTCCCATGAGACCATACCACAGCTCTGAGGGCATATCCCAACATTCATGAATGACCCCATAACAGCAAATCTCTCTGTGTGTGTTTGTGTGTTAAACAAACAGACTCCAGCATGTGGTGATTTGTGCCCATAAAATTTCTGCCTGTATTTTTGTGTTATGAAATGAACTACTGGCGCATGTCAGAATATTTGACCCTCTAGCTATCTGATTTGTGCCCAGAGGTAAATTCGGGCGAGGGGTAAATACGAAGTTGTTAACCCACAATTCAAGTGGAAAATATGTGTGTAATTTGTGCCTGAAAAAAGGAGACCACCCTTTTAAAAATGTGATTCTCTTTCGGGTAGGTGTTTATTACCATATGAGAACTTTATTCTCCAGGGATATGTGGCAGTAAAGGGGATTGGTGACCACTAGCAAACCAGTCTACTTTGAACGTGAGGGAAAAACATAATTCAACAGGCTCCAGTGATTCATCCATGAGAGAAGTCAAGTCCCTAGTTTTGAGGAGCTGGAAGCTCTGCTTTGAGCATACAGCAGGAAAAAAGACCTATAAATTATATAATTGCCTATGGGACATATAGGGAAAAAGATATTAATTCTTACTGACTCAAAAATTACTCCTCCTCATCCCTAGAAGTGATACATCACTATACCTGAAACCTGGAACTCCTTTCTCACTAAGTCAGATCCCTCTAAACAAGTAACTTGTAGATTCCACTACCCTGGCTTTTCCTCCTGTCTTGCATAACTATAGTGACTTTAGAGCCTATCAGATAGCATACTGTCATCTGAAAATTTAAACGCATTGTCTGAGTGCCTCACCCACCTCATTTGAATTGTAATTGGTTTGCACAGAAGGAGAGGCCCAAGGTTTTCTCTATAAATGGTGTTTCAAACACAGCTTGAAGCCTTATCATACAGCACCATACCTGCCCAGAGGAACACAGAACACGAGTCACAGACTAGCAAGAAACCATGGCTGGTGAGTAAATTACAAGTCTCTCAATAACTACTCTGTGAGCAACTGAATAAGGCTATATTCCCTTATTGGGATAGTTTATTTAGTGGGGGTTTGTTGCAAAGGGCTCTAAGTGTTGCATACTCTATATTCTGGGATTTGGAATAAGTTGTATAACTGGTAACAGATATTTTAAACATTTATTTTCCTAAATTTTTAATAATACAACAAACAGAGAAAATAAGATATTTCATAGGTTGTAATACTGGAGTACAGTATTACAAAACAGATGCAGAGCACAATGGGTTGTGGAGAACCACTAAGACTGTTCAGATGCATCACCCAAGAATTTACCAAAGTGTACAGAATGTGATTATTTTATGCTGGTCAGGTTAAATATTAGGAATTTAGAAGGCAAGCTAGAGATATGAATCAGAGAACATAAGAACATAAGAATGGCCATACTGGGTCAGACCAAAGGTACATCCAGCCCAGTATCCTGTCTACCAACAGTGGCCAATGCTAGGTGCCCCAGAGGGAGTGGACCTAACAGGTAATGATCTAGTGATCTCTCTCCTTCGATCCATCTCCATCCTCTAACAAACAGAGGCTAGGGACACCATTCCTTACGCATCCTGGCTAATAGCCATTAATGGACTTAACTTCCATGAATTTATCCAGTTTTCCTTTAAACCCTGTTATAGTCCTAGCCTTCACAACCTCCTCAGGCAAGGAGTTCCACAGGTTGACTGTGCGCTGAGTGAAGAACTTCCTTTTATTTGTTTTAAACCTGCTACCCATTAATTTCATTTGGTGGCCCCTAGTTCTTATATTATGGGAACAAGTAAATAACTTTTCCTTATTCACTTTCTCCACACCACTCATGATTTATAGACCTCTATCATATCCCCCCTTAGTCTCCTCTTTTCCAAACTGAAAAGTCCTAGCCTCTTTAATCTCTCCTCATATGGGACCCGTTCCAAACCCCTAATCATTTTAGTTGCCCTTTTCTGAACCTTTTCTAATGCTAGTATATCTTTTTTTAGATGCGGGGACCACATCTGTACTCAGTATTCAAGATGTGGGCGTACCATGGATTTATATAAGGGCAATAAGATATTCTCCATCTTATTCTCTATCCCTTTTTTAATGATTCCTAACATCCCTTTTGCTTTTTTGACTGCCGCTGCACACTGTGTGGACATTTTCAGAGAACTATCCACAATGACTCCAAGATCTTTCTCCTGATTAGTTGTAGCTAAATTAGCCCCCATCATATTGTATGTATAGTTGGGGTTATTTTTTCCAATGTGCATTACTTTCCATTTATCCACATTAAATTTCATTTGCCAAGAGCTAACTATTACTAATATAGGCATTTATGGTAGACGTATTTTGTGAGCATTAATAATATACTTCTGTGGACTCGGTCTCATGTCTACAAATACTTTCTGAAAACTAGCTTTTAAGATGGAGTTTGTGTGTTAACAGAGCCTGTGTTTATAGAAGTGTTTCTGTGTTGAGCACACATACGGGGCTAGATACCATCCCGTAGGTGCAGGGAGTGTGCACCCCTTGTACTTGCAGGAGCAACTATACCTGATGGGGACAACACCTTTAAATCTAGACAGGGCTTCATATGAGCCCAAGCATTGAAGTCTAGCCTGGAGAGAGATTGCGCCCCTCTCTTGGCATACCCTCTTTGCCAGAGTTTGGAGCCTAGGCTCTGCAGGCATAAGGTGAATCGGGACCATCACTTGGTGAAAGAGAACCGTGTCCAAAGAGCAGAAACAGAGAGCTTGATTTTCCTCTCATACTGATGTAAATCAAGAGTAAATCCACTGAGGTCAATGGAACTACACAGAGGAAGTAAGAAGAGAATCAGGCCCATGGACTCTAAAAGCCATGCATTTCATCTGTACAAGTTGTTTTGTTTTTTTTTAAATTTATTGGGGTGACTTGAACCACTTACTATCTTGGCATATTCCTTGTGGATTCGTTTTGCCAATATTTCCTAACTTGTTGGTGAAAGTGCAGTGTATGGTCTGCCAGTGCCCACTAGATGAATTTCTAAATGTACCAGGTGGGCTCTGACATTCCATTAATCTAAATGTTCATCTCTAAGAAATGAACCAAGAAGCAGGAGGGTTGGAAAGGGGTCAGGTGTGTATTATGGGCAGGTACCAAAAAATCTGCTCCACTAAGTATTGCTTAAGTAAACAGCCATGAAAAATGCTACTGGGCTGTTTAAGAGAGCTCTTTGTTAACAGAGGGAGTACGTGTTGAAACTGGACAGTAAAAACAATAACCACAGATTGCAGCAACAGGAAAACAACCACAAATCCACAATTTCCTCCATGTAACATTTGCGCAATGATGTGCCAACATCATAGCCAATATTTTAACAAGTGGCTCCCCAAACATTTTCCACTAAACCTCCAGTATGCTCCATGTACCATTGGCATATGCTCACAGAAGGAAGCAGGAGAGAATAGGGAATCTGTCCATTTGTGTTTTTCTCCATTTAAACAGAACTAATTCTCATAACCCTAACTGCAGGAACAGGAAGAGGCAGCCCCACTTGACAAACAAGACAGCACTTGGTGGATGTGGTCAGACTTTTTGTGAACCACTCAGAGCACATTCACAGCCCAGCCCAGTGTTCCATTTGTGGGATCTGAGGCAGGGGTGTAGACCTGGGGAAAAGGTGTGGGGGATCCTCCCCATGGTACTGTTTAAATGCAGGACCTGCCACGTGGTGCTATCAAGGCTATTTTAAAGGAAATATTTTGCTCTACAGCAGATCCAAATGAACCCAGGTAAGTCATTTCTGGCAGGGCTAATTTAGCAGTGTCCAGAAAAGGGGCTGAGTGCAACTCCTCCAGACCCAGGGAAAGCACCCAAACTTTCCACTCAATTTGACTGCAGAATTTTAATAAGGGGTTCATGGAGCCCCTGCTACATCCCAACTGTGGAGGATTCAGCTGCTTGTTTCACAATCTCCTCTCAGTCACAGTCTGACAGCCTTCAGCCCTAGTAGCATAACAAACAATTAAGGTCTGAGTCATACTCAGAAATATCATGTGTGGACACTAGAACTATAAAATGGGGGCTCAAGGAAATGCAAGGCAGATATTTGTTCCAAACTCTAGAGAAAACATTCACTGCCATGTAGAATGGTGATAACAAGAGACACTTCTCACTTGTAAGTAAAATATGCAGTATTAGCTGGAGGTCACATCTTCTGTATATTATCTACACTGCACTTGTGGAATTGGTGTAAGTGATATGCATGGGAGAGAGATGGAGACAAATGCTTAAACGAAATCAGAACTAATTCTGAAGGTCCTGGATGGCCATGTTAAATCTGACCCCAAGGTCTAAACAGGTGTCTTGTCTTGATGTGCCAGAGACCTGAGCTGACTTCCTGCTCTTTGGAGCCACAGGGGCTGAGTTTGCTGCAGAAGTAAGTCACATCACTGTTTAAAAAACAGGAATATGTCTCAGCTTTATAGGTTTTTGGAGTCCCCTGCTTCCTTCCCAGAGGCCAAGAGGATTCCCCTGTATGACCCTGCTTTATACCTCAAATTTTCAGCCTCATGTCACAGCCAGTATTTTGACTGAAAGAATCAGTCAGTAGAATTAAACTGCATTCTTTATTCAAGCAACTCACTCTCAACTCTACCATCTCTCTCCTCTCAGATGCTTTCCCAGCCTCCCTCTAGTACTGCATTAACCAAATCTTGTTCTATTTTAGTCAGCACTAGCTACAACAGTCACTGCTTTGAGAGATGCCATCTCCCAAGAAGCTAGATAAAATGCTTGCAAAATGAAAAATTGGTTCCTCTGTGTGATGGAGACACAAACACAGGAAGAACCTCCTCCATCAAATTGCCTCCCATTGCCCCAAGTCACCTGTACTTAAAACATGTACAACTCCAAAGAAGATGACTGAGTTTTTTTTCTGTCCATCGCTGGAGACTCCTCTGCCCCCACAAGGCCTTGGGATTCTCCTTACCTTTATTTTCTCTTCTCACAGCTCTGACATTGGTAAATACCAACTGGCAGCTTGAAGCAAATGCGAGTGCACACCATACTGATAAATACTCCAGCAGAGAGCTGATTGTGAGGAGAGGACAAGCCTTCACCATCATCTTGACCTTCAACAGAGCACTGCAGACTGGAGAGAGCTTAACATTCACTGCAGAAACAGGTAATGCCCCCTCTTCAGTCCCTCACACAAACAAGTTGCTGCCTCATAGACTGGTGATGTCCTTCCCCTGCAGATGCCCACTCACCCCGTCAGAAGGAGATAATAATGCCCGCACGAATTCATCCCCTCAGAGCTATTGTTAACACAGTTGTACCTACCCAGGTGACCGTGCAGGGTGTTAAATGTATGACTCACTTAAGCTAATAGTATTTGGCATCAATTTATCTATAACATGCTGACATATGGTACAATCTCACTCATCAGGGGTTGCCTCTCTGCTGGGTTGAATAGAAATTGTATGTAGTTTCAGAGTGCAGGAGAAATTTCAGTGTTCTTAATCCTCTTTGAAAGGGCCACAACCATCACTGCAAGCTAAGACCCAGGCTGTATTTGACATCTCCAGCACAGCGAGCAATAGTACCTGGAGTGCAGTCCAACAATCCACCAACTCCAGCTCCGTCAGCATCTCTATTTCCAGCCCGGCTAATGCTGCCATCGGACGCTACAAACTGAGCGTGCAGCCTGCCTCAGGTGGTAGGGCCTCCCATCGGACCCTCGGAACATTCGTTCTGCTCTTTAACCCTTGGTCTTCAGGTACAGACACCTTGGGTTTCTCTCTACGTAACTCACTGCAGCTTTAATATGTGTAGCTTGCCCATCTGATGTACAGCAACTGAACAGTAACAATATGTACCATAACACTGAGCGCGAAGAGTGGGAATCAAGAGTGTCCTAATACCTTCCAGTGACACAAAAAAACAGCTGAATGTCTTAGAGATTTGCTGTATAGCGCACAGTAGGGAGTGCACCCCACCTCCTCTCTGTGCAGAGTCAGGGTCCTGTGGGATTCCCAAGAGGGAAGCTACAAACTCATCATGTTCACTCTGTAGCTTTTGTGTGATTATGGAGTCCTACCAGAGAGCCCTTACGCTGAAAGGCATAGACTGAGCCCTGTATCTCCCACAGCTCAGCACCACCATAGAAGGGAGGAGACTGGGCACTACTAGGCACTGTACTATCCCCAAGAGAAAAAAAGACAAGGCCCTGAATCTATCCCACACTTCCTTTCCCCTGCAGGACAGAGACTTAGCCACGGGTGTGTCTTCGCTATCCCCCATCCCTCTTCCTTCACCCCACAACTGCAAAAGGGTTGAATTTCTAAAATCCATTGAGAACACTGAGAGTAGAGCAGATGGGTGTTTACAGGAGCTCATCTGAGGCTTTCAAACCCCTGCCCCATTGTGGTTTTACAGCATCTCTGCTTTGGATTTTCAGGGGATGATGTGTTTATGCCTGACAGCTCTGAGCGCAAGGAGTACGTGCTGGAAGAGTTTGGAATTCTCTTTGTGGGCAACGTAAACTATATTCACAGGCGGGGCTGGAATTATGGCCAGGTAAATGCAAAGTGAAGAACTTGGTGTTTGGGCCTCCTTTATTCTCACAAGCTAGATCAATACCTTGCCTGCTCTTTCTAGTTCATACTTTGTGCTGCATTATGTGCTGCACTGTCTTTGAGAGACCTTCTGGGGCACTGGCAGCCCTAGCCATGTTCCTCTTTACCTCCCAGTGACTTATCTGGACAACAGGAGCCTGTTCACAGGCATCAGGCCTCATCTCATGCCCCCCTTTATACCAATTCACATAAAGGTCAGTATCGATAACTGCGCATTTCTCATAAACCAGGACTCCCATAGTTCAGCTATAAATGTTTTAAAGTCTCTGCTGGATAACACTGTACACAGACAATCTGTGCATCTGATGAAGTGGGTTCTAGCCCATGAAAGCTTATGCCCAAATAAATTTGTTAGTCTCTAAGGTGCCATAAGGACTCCTCGTTGTTTTTGCTGAGACTAACAAGGCTACCACTCTGAAACTGTACACAGATGTAACTGCTGTGATACTGGGCAGCACTATCCCAACTGTTATTACACAGTCATAAATTCTGGGGCCTGAAAGGACCATTGCAATCATCTAGTTTGATCTTCTGAATGACACAGGCCAGAGATTTGTATCCAGTAACTCCTGCACCAAGCCCATAATTTATGTTGGAGCTAGAATGGCTCCTTAAGAAATATGTAGACTATTATTTCAAATACTGATTTAGACTATTGTACCCTTAAGATTTATAAGGAAGAACAATTTGCATCACCTATATATTAACTTATTTTTAAAACACAGTTTCAAGGGGACATTCTGAATATCTGCCTTTCCATACTGGATAGAAGCCTAAGCTACCGTCAAGACCCTGCCACTGATGTGTCTCGCAGAGATGATCCCAAATATGTGGGCCGTGTGCTCAGTGCCATGGTAAGAAAAGGGTTGATTTACTCAGCATTAGAAACATTGCAAAAGCCAAATCCACGAACTGTTTCTTTAAAAGCAGTTCTTTAAAAGCAGATGGAAGATACTTCCCTGTGAGGGTAAATCCACCGTTTGTGTGGCTCAGAAACCACAGTGATGGACAACTACCCAATTTGTGCCTGCAAGTTCTTCTTAGTCTATGGTATTTCTGAGGCATCTATCACTTTGGCATCCAGTTGTCAGACAAAATAAAGAGTTCATAACTCCATTTCCCCCCTTAAACAGAGAGTGAGATTGAGAGTGGGTCTGGTGGTATTCACAGAGGTCATTCCTGGTAGTCTTACATTTTGGCTTATTTGATCACTTCTGGTAAGGAGTTCTATAGGCAAGGGATTTTTTTATTGAGAAGGCTCTTCCCCAGAATCCTAGATGTTACTCCTGATCTCTCCAGTTGCTCTGCCCCTGAAGTAGAGGATTTTATTCTCTGGGGCTAGCATTCCTTCCATGAGCACTAAATTGACTTAAAAATGTATAAAGGTAGCAATAAAAGCAGGAGACAAAATACTATTAAGACTTCTGCATCCAGCCAAGACATTTTTTCTACTAGTTTCAGTTTAAAACCATGAAGCTGCTCTAAGTTGTAATGTACATCTCCCCACATAAGGGCTTGTTTGTGCTGAAACTTAGCATGTTTCAAGCTGGGGGAGTACATCTACAGTATGCTGCACAACTGCTGGCACATGGATCCTGATATGATGCACTTAAAGTTCTGTAAAGTGCTTTGACCTACTGCTGTTATTTTCGGGTGGGAGGAGCAGAGGGGGCTAAATATTTTCATTTCTTGATTAAATACATCTCCTACTTCCCTTAAAATAAGATGCCTTCTTCGTGGCAAGCCAGTTCCCTGAAGCAGTGGCTTTGCCCCTTGTATAATAATTAGGGCATTAGCCTAAGACTTGGGAGACTCAGGGTCAGTTCCTTCCTCTGACACAGTCTCCCTGTGTGACCTTGGGAAAGTCACTCAGCCTCTATGTGCTCCAGTTCCCCATCTGTAAAATGGAGTCAATAGTAGTGTCCTATGGCACAAGGGCATTCTGGGGATCAATATAGTAAAGACTGTGTTGCACTTTGAGATCTACTGATGAAAAAGCACTTACATAACAGTTATAAGAGGTATTAATTATTACTATATGCCACACAGGGCTGTTTCTCCCTCCTTTCCTTCTTCTACTGCAAACTATGCTTTGTGTTAATCTAGGGTATATTTTTTCCAGGTCAACAGTAATGATGATAACGGGGTGGTGCTGGGAAACTGGAGTGGAAATTACTCTGGTGGAACAAGTCCAGGCAGTTGGAATGGAAGTGTTGAAATCCTGCAAAAGTGGAAGGATGCAGGATTTAGACCTGTTAGATATGGACAATGCTGGGTTTTTGCATCAGTGCTGACCACAGGTATGTTTCAGTAACACAGACGTGTTTGTTGTACAGGCTCCATTATGGGAAATGCTAAACCCTCTATACTGAGGCCTGTTTCAAAGCACTGGCAGTGTCAGAGCCTGGTTTGGCCAGGATCACTATCCAGAAATATTAGCTGAGGATAGTAACATAGAAACTTTGTATCTCGGAAATACAGGTTTTTAATTATTTGTTTTGGTTTCTTTAGTGCTCAGGTGTCTGGGGATTCCTACTCGTGTGATTTCAAATTTCAACTCCGCCCATGACGCAGATAGAAACCTGAGTGTGGATATATATTATGATGAGTCTGGAAATCGTCTGAACATGGGGAGTGACAGCGTCTGGTAACCAACTACTCTTCTAAATATCTGCAGTATTAAGCATTGACATCATTGGGACTTATAGATGCAAGTCAAAGGCATGATTTGGTCCTGTGCATTGACGGGATAGATACAGACTCCTCAATCAAAGTGTGTAGATTCCCACACTAAACACATTGTTAACGTATAGTTAAAGCTGCAACTCAAAACAAGACACACATCATTAAATAAATAACAAAACAATAAAAAGCATGGAAACCACCAGCTCGGGTTACCCCAATCTTCACACCCAAATTATGGTCTCTCTCTCTCTCTCTCTCTCTCTCCAAAGAGCAGAACAATTCTCAATGATCAACACTATTTAATCCACATGTACTTCATTTAGTACAGAGTCTAATTTAACAAAGAGTTACGACAGTCACTTGAAGCTAAGTTAGAAAGAGTTCGAACAATGCTACAACTACAGGACCAAAGTGGATACAAAAATCTAAGGTGTCAACCTGAAAATATCACATAATGGGACTTCATTAGTTTGGGTCCAGATTTTTAAAAGGGTGCACAAAGTGGTGCTGGAACAATTTTTATAGTGGGGGTGCTGAGAGCCATTCAACCAAACTGTAAACCTTGGATATGATGGAAACCACTTCAAGCCAGGGGGTTCAGCAGCTCTCCCAGGACCCCTAGTTCCAGCACCTATGGGTGTTCATTAAGATGTGAACTTTCAGCATGACCAGGACACAGGCTTCCTTTATACAGGTATTACTTGTCCCCATATCAGGTCACTGGGGTGAAAATCCACAGAATTATGCCCAGAATTAAATGGTAGATGCATAAATTAAGGAACAAATTTAGTGTGATATTATGCTGTGCAACTGCAGAGGTGCTCAGGAAGGGAGAGCATCCTGGGTGCAAGGACCAGGCATAATCTCAGTCCTTGTACTCCAGGGAACACTGTTGAACCCAGTGAAAGCTGAGAGTGCTCAGAACCTTTCAAAATCAGATCCAAGGCTTCCCGTATAACTATAAAATGTCTGGGATTGTTTTCAGTTATGTCAGACATAAAATTCTTGTTGATTTTACATTTCCCAATGAAACTCCCATCCAGAACTTCAGGTTGAGATTCTCAGGATCAAGTCTGAAATATTCAGTCTCAGGAGAGAACATATACAGAATTACAACGTTTGCTATAGTAAGCAATAAATGACAGACAAGGAGTGCATTTCCTGTAAATTAGTGGGAGGCTGGAAGTGTTGAGGGCCCTCAATAAGGGCTATTACTTGCTGAGACATGCCTGATCCAGAATCAGGATAATTTCTTATTTCGTATGGCTTATAACAGCAATAAAGTAACATTTATGCTGTTTCATTTACCATTCTGTTATTTTCTTAGCTATTAGAGACCAATACAGAAACCACTGGGAAACCATGTCTCACTGCGAATGCTTTGTTAGGGGGTATAATGTGCGGCTAGGAAATGTATTAAGTTGTGCAGATATTTAATGTATTTATGGACCCCATTCTCCCTTATGGTCTTTCTGCCAGCAGCAAAGAGTAGCCAGAAAGCCATCTTCATCAGCAACCTGTGGGTTTCCCCTAGGGGAAGAGGAGGTTTTGGATCACCCTACTGGCAACTCCCAGTTCACAGGATGTGGCCAGAGCACTGCTGCACTCCTGTAATCCCTGGCTGCCACAATATGCTTTTGGGGCTGTAAGCAGCTGAACATAATTTAGAACTCCCCTAAAGCTGCAGTGAGTTGTGTCCTGGGCCAAACTAGTTCCTGGCTCAAGGAGCCTCAAAGGCAACATGAAGCCTCTGTTTTTGTTTGTTTTGCTGGTCCTTCAGCATGAACAATTTGGTCAGATGAGAGAATCTGGGTTTACAGACATGTAGAAGTGGATACAATCAGTGACCCTCAGAAACTCGCTACACAACTGTCACACATTAGTTGTTTACCACGTTTATTCTTGTCTCTAGGAATTTCCATGTCTGGAATGAAAGCTGGTTTACCCGAAGTGATCTGGGGCCCTCCTACAACGGATGGCAAATTCTGGATTCAACTCCCCAGGAGAGAAGTGCAGGTACAGGGATTTTAATTCAGGAAAATGTTAAAGCAGGGGGACAACTAGTCACTCTCAGAACTTGTTGGGGAGAATGAGGAATTCAACCCTGGCCAAACAATATCACTTCTCTCCCTGCCCAAAAAGGGAGGGAAATGAGAACATGCATCCCTTTCCACCGTTAAGACCTCAGTTTACTACTTGTTGCCAAAACACAAAACAGGCTTCCCTATCCAGCTTCTTCCAGAAACTCCTACGTTTTCAGCACAGAAATCTGCAGCTATTGAAAGTTAGATGGCAGAATAAAACAAATTGGATTTATCATCAAAACAAATAAATACAAAGTCTAAGCTGCTGACTGGAATGGACAACTTTAAGGGGGAGAGGGCTGGAGTGGGGTGGCAGGGCTGTATAATTCAGGGGTCCTTGACACACAGTTTATGTCTAATGTGCATTGCTTACATTCTATTAGAGAGTTTTGACTAGTCTAGCCCTAATTGATTTTCTTTTCCCTGATACTCTAGGAATATATCAGTGTGGTCCTGCCTCACTTATAGCCGTCAAAGAAGGAGATGTAGACCTTGAGTATGATTGTCCATTCGTATTTGCTGAGGTGAATGCAGACCGTATCAGCTGGACTTACGACATTAGGCGTAGACAGGCAAAGCCGATCTCTTCTGAGACCAAATCAATTGGCCAGATCATCAGCACCAAGGCAGTTGGCAGTTATGACCATGTAGATGTCACTAATAATTACAAATATGGAGAAGGTAAAGAGAAAATCCTCTGTTTTGTGATAGTAGCACGAAAGCTTAATTCTTAAAATGGTAGAAACATTGTAATAGGAGCCAGGACCTTAGCAAGTACTACAACAGCTAGGACAAAAGTTACAGCTAGTGAGGCTCCTACAGCGCTACGACAAGGAGGAAGACGGAAGGTATAGTATCGTGCCATACCATTTCTGATATGTCAGTTTTGATTCATGAGATCTGGGTAAAGTTGCTCTTAATTACATTGTGCAAAACATGTCCTGTCCCGTCCTGTCCATGATAACACAGGCTGCTCAAATTGCATTTGCTACTGACAACACAGTTATTAGATAGTTTACAGGTACTGTATAGAAATCTAAGATAGACAGATAGCAAACTCCACAAGAAGGGCAACGCTTTCAAAAGGACCTCAACCGGCCGCTAAATTCGCACCTTCAGTTTTGCCTGTACAAAATACAGAATACAAACTTCTATTAGCTAAGTTTGCATGTGTAAAAAAGAGTAAGACACAAAAGATATTAAAAATGTCTAAAGGGGGGGAGGGCTGATAATTCAAACCCTCATATTAGAGTAAGGCCTGTTCAAGTAAGCTGCAGGCCTGTCAGTCCCATCAGTTTAGAGGGATGCTTCATGTTACAGAATAAAGTGAAGCAAGTTTGAATTTATATTTACCACTTGTACAGCCCTAGGAAAAGTTGGATGAGGAAAGGTTTCGGAACTAAGCTTTAGTTCCTCTCTGGAATTAACAGGTTTAGTGCTCTCAAGTTTAAGGACAGCAACTCTGAAATGAATGCATGCCTGTCACTCATCCAACAGGTTAATAGTGGCTGCAGTAAACAGTTGCTCTGTCTCCCCTGGAGGCAGATCTGTCAGGGCCCTACATCCTTCTGGGTAAGCATCAGGCTTGCCAGTTAAAAGTGGAGAGACAAGATGGTTGTCTCTCTAAATATCCTAGGACCAACGCCGCTACAACTACCCTGCATACAACATTTACAAATGGACATATTTTACTATTTTTTTTATTATGATTTTCATGGCTCACTCTCTCTCTCTAATAGGCTCTCGGAAGGAAAGAGAAGTGTATGAAAAGGCTCGTACAAAGCTGGGTCGAGTATATGGTTTTAGTGCCACATCAGAGAAGCGACCAGAAATTGATCAAAAGCCTGACATTTCAGGGAAGTTCAAGGTGGATGGCTCCTTACAGATCGGCAAAGATGTCAGCCTAATCTTGGTTCTCAGAAATTTGACCTCTGATGCTAAGACTGTAAAGGCAAATCTGACTGCTTGGACCATCGTGTACACTGGGAAGCCAATTCATAAGGTCTGGAAAGACTCCCTTTCAGCTACTTTTGCTTCTGAAGAAGGTAATTTTTCATATAATTGTGTAACCAAAGAAACAAGTTTGTCGTAACAGTATGAGAGAATTAGATTTAAAGGTGGCAAAACTGAGAGAATGAAGAAATCTACTAAGAAAGGTGCAATGGGAAAGGGTCTTAAATTCCAGCGTGGAAGGAGGCTGAGGATTCCTAAGAGACACCATCTTTAATCCAAAGCAGGTTAAAGTTCTTCTAAAAGAGAAAAATCTAAGAAATAAAACATTTCCCATGTGGTTCCCAAACACTGCTCAGATACAGGGGGTGGAGGAAACATACCAGAAATGAAGAGGTGGTGGCAAGTAAACCAGAATACTCAGTTAACAGAAGCTAGTATGGAAAAGATAAGGACAACAAATAAGCAAGATGAGTTAATGGCAGCCAAAGGGCTTCTGAAAAGTTACATGGATTTTTATAATGGGAAGAAGCAGCACAGTAAAAGGAAGAAAACTGGTTCATTGGGGGGAATGAAATTATTGATGATTCAAAAGTGGCTGAAATGCCCTGTTTATACTATATCTTGAACAAAAAGAAGCCTGAATTATTAGTTCAGAAGGAAAATGCTATAAAATAACTTTGGATAAAGCGCAGATAGAGGAAAGCTTGAGAAAATGCAAGTACACAACACAAGCAGGTCCAGGTGATGTGCATCTTATGGAATTAGTCCTGGATAGGGCCTGAGAGGATTTTCCCATTACAATTAAATAGACACTAACTAGTTAATGAAATGCAAAGTGGCAAGTTATCTGCCTCATAGAATCATAGAATTATAGAATATCAGGGTTGGAAGGGACCTCAGGAGGTCATCTAGTCCAACCCCCTGCTCAAAAGCAGGACCCATCCCCAATTAAATCATCCCAGCCAGGGCTTTGTCAAGCCTGACCTTAAAAACTTCTAAGGAAGGAGATTCCACCACCTCCCTAGGTAACGCATTCCAGTGTTTCACCACCCTCCTAGTGAAAAGGTTTTTCCTAATATCCAACCTAAATCTCCCCCACTGCAACTTGAGACCATTACTCCTCATCACCTTCCAGAAAGAACAATGGGGAGGAAAAAAGGGGCAGAGAATGAGGCAGAAGGAACTGAAGAAGAGAAACCAACCCCAGTCCACTCCCAGACAGGCAGACAGGCAATGCAGCAAGAAGTGAGAGAAAAGCAGGGGAAGCTCATGTCCTATCTAGCACCAGATACTGGGTGATAGGAAAATACTCATTTTAGGTGAATGACACTTGTTAGACTTTTGCAAGTGCATCTCATCCTATTTATTTTTAAAATTTTATGTTATTATTGCCTTTCAGAGAAACAGTTTCCTGTTAAGATAACATATGCTGAGTACCAGCAAAATTTAACAGGAGACAACATGATTCGAGTAACAGCTTTGTGTCAAGTTGAAAGTGGGATTGATGTGGTGGTGGAAAGAAACATCACTCTGGATAACCCTGACCTTGTCATGCAGGTAAAAATCTGTCCCTTTGCCACCTGGAGAGAAAGAGTGCTTCAGCTGCTTTACACAGCTTCAGCACTGGGGAAAGGGGACGGTGAAAGGAGATTTAGACTGGATCTTTTGTTCCTACATCAACTGTCTTTTCCATTGACAGAGATGCTCTGTTCTCATCCTGACATGGTGGGGTGTCTTAAGAGTGCCCAACATTTGATGACTCATAACATCATTTTCTGCTTTAGAATGTGATCATGCAAGTATTTGGTCTGTGCAGGTCCCCAGTGATGCGAAGGTGAATGAACCAGTGAATGTGGAAGTGATATTTACCAATCCTCTCGACCAAGAAGTGAAAGACTGTGTGCTGCTGGCAGAAGGCAGTGACCTGGTGAAAGGAAAGCTTGAGATAGAGTAAGTACAAGGAGCATCAACTTCTTGACACAAACGCTGCACACAACAGGACTTAGGGTTGGGTGTTTTTGAAGCAAATGTTGGCATGACACATTTTTCCTTCTGGCTATGACCACAGAGGTCTGTCTGTGGAAATGAGACTCAAGAAAACAAAGACGTGATTTTTAATGAGGCCTCAACCTGACCTTTCTTTTGGCACTGCAGTTTGTAGGTGCCAATAACTGTGGGCATAAGTTGGTGCTATTTATTCACCCATTTACCTGATTGCACCACACATTGGGTAAAAGTCTAAATGATATAAGTGGGATAAACATTCAGTGGGGCTGAGGCCCTGGCAGCCAGTCTGCAGATGCAATCAATTAAACTTGAATATTGTGGCAGTGCCAACCAGGTCACTCCCTACTGTAGAAGGCATGATACAGAGTAAGTGATGGTTTCTACCCAAAAAAGCTGTACCTGTTAACCTTGGGTCCTTTTAAAAACGTTTTAAAATGAACTGTGTGTGTGCAAATCTGAGTATTTCTCTCTCTCTCTCTCTCTCTCTCTCTCTCTGATATTAACCCATATCAGGTAGGTAGAGGTGCAAGTATGCAGATTTGTGCCTGCATTTCAAACTGTGAACATTTCAATAAGTTCAAATTTTTCAGACAGAAATTGCACCCTCAAAAGAAGGCCATCCTTCTGAAAATGTACCCCCATCTCTCTCCATGCACAACTACTGCTGGGGCAAAATTCCTCCTGCAACTAGTATATGGAAAAACTGCTGATAAAAAGAGGCTGGGTTTTAATAATCCAGACCTAAATCATAATGTTTAGAAAGCCAGACATGCTAAGACTTTGAAAGCTATAAAATTTGTGTATTTAGAGATTTAAATATATTAATTATGGAGGGACAGAATGGAAGGAGTGGTGAATATTGTGATAAATACTTTTTTAAAACAAGAGACTATTTCTCCTAAATAGTAACCATTGGCATATGTGATTTTTCAACCTTGGTTTTGAAATTCAAAAAATGTCATTGTTTTGGGAAATGTAGACATACAGTAGGGGTTAGATCAATAAATTGAAACCCTTACTCATTAGGGGGCACTAGTGTATTTGCTACTGATAAATGAGGAATGGGATAGCTATAAAGAGCTGTAATATAATAGATGCTATCCGGTTCATTTTTCATACATGTTTGGATCATTAATGTCTTGTAATGCTGGTATTTTACTGTAGAACCAGGAAGAGTAAATTTTCAGCCAGACCTCCATCTGGCCTTCACAGATCTGCACACACAAACTTCTACATGCACTTGGCAGGTACAAATGCCTGCCAAATATTCTATTTGTCTATGCCCTTTAGTCTAACACCTGCATATCCTTAAATGTAAGTGAAAATGCTAACCAGACTCTGAATTATCTATTGCATACTCACAGTAGGGATCTCCAAAGTGGCCGAAGACAGCTAAGTACCCAACTCCCAGCAAAAGCATTGGAGATCTAACTCCTTTAGGCCCCTTTGGATGCCCATTGTATAGCTCCTGCTCCCTCCTGACAGAAATGCATAGGGAGGATGGCTGGCAGGGAAACTCAAATATAAAATACAAGGCTGTTTTCAACTGATATTTCTCCTTTTGCTTCTGTTTTTTAGAATACCCTCACTACAGTCCAGGCAAACTTCCAAAATACCATTTGAAATCATTCCCACCAAGAGTGGAACCAAGCAACTGCTCGTTAATTTCTCCTGTGACAAGTTTCCAGATGTCAAAGCCTTTGAGACCATAAATGTGGCCAACTGATTATAAGATGTGCAGTGGTCAGTTTGTCTGTATAACCTTGAGTGAAATAGTACAAGAAAGCTCCTGTCTTCTGTGCACAATTAGTAAATCAATCTATTTCTGCTACAGAAACAAAATCCACACCCTGTGTGACAGGAAATATCCTGTTACATAGTTTTACCAAATTCATGGCTGTGAAAAATGCATCATGGACTGTGAAATCTGGTCTTTTGTGTATTTTTACCCTATACTATACAGATTTCACAGGGGAGACCAGCGTTTCTAAAACTGGGGGTCCTAACCCAAAAGAGGGTTGTGGGGGGAGTTGCAAGATTACTGTTGGGGGGGTTGCGGTATTGCCACCTTTACTTCTACGCTGCCTTCAGAGCTGGGTGGGTGGAGAGCAGTGGCTGTTGGCCAGGTGCCCAGCTCTGAAGGCGGTGTCTCACCAGCAGCAGCGCAGAAGTAAGGGTGGCAATCCCATGCCACCCTTACTTCTGTGCTGCTGCCTCAGAGTTGGGTCAGGACCCTACAGTTACAATACCGTGAAATTTCAGATTTAAATATCTGAAATAATGAAATTTACAATTTTTAAAATCCTATGACCATGAAATTGACCAAAATGGACTGTGAATTTGGTAGGGTCCTAGTTATACATTCAATACACAATGTGAGGGAGGGATTCTTCATATACTGATGTAAATTTCCAAATTTTAAATATACTATCTGCACTTCTCTCCCAATTGTGTGTCTGGTTTTCTTATGCCTTTTTAAATTGGGATGCTATTCCCTGTGGCCCCAGGTACTGATAATCTGCTGTGAGATCCGGACCCTTCTAGAGTGAGCAATACTAAATCTATATTATTTTAACATTGAACATGACTTATACTGTGCAGAAAGGACAGGATATTACAACAATTTAAGCCACCCTTATGAAAAGGTTCTCTAGAATTTAATAAGGATGGAAACCAATAGGGTTCTATAGAAATTACTCAAAAAAGGTATAGAATAGTAAGATTCTTTTTATGGCTTTTAAACCAGCCTACAGAATTCTATCACAGGCATATAATTTTCTATTAAATTCTGTAAGTTTTTCTAAAGGATATTCACTATTAAAGAGCTACATTGTTTTACCTATCCCGTTTTGGATCCTCAGCTTCTTCTCTAGCATTATTGTCCCTGCCCCCAAAACTTTTTCACTTTGAGATAGTTGGTGGGACCTACGCTGTGCTGGGTGCTTTCCAAACAGAGGAGGTCACAGTCCTTATGCTAAAGAGTGAACAATTAAAAAAGATAAAGACAGGTGAAGTGTGGCAGAGAGGGATATGAGCTCTAGGCGGACAGTATGTCTACACTGCAATTTACCGGTGTGATTGTATCTTGGATCTTGAATAGACATACCTGCACCACCTTTCATCTACCTAGCATGGCTAAAAGTAGCACTGAAGATGCAGTGGCATAGACCCCAGCATAGGCTATCAACACGAGTACATAACCAGGATTTCAGATGGGCTTGTACAGCATGGTAGTATAGCCATACTCAAAATGATCAAGGGGATGAGACACCACAGGTTGGGTTTGTTTGTTTTTTTATAAAATTCCTCTTCCTCCGCCATACAGTTCCCATGTTCCCACCCACCAATCCCCAGATTCAGCTGCAGTAATTTTATCTTTCTGCCTTCTAGTTTACACTCAAAAACACGGTGCAACTTCCCTTGGCTGAAAAAAACCTGCTCCCCTCAGTCTCACGTCCCTCTACTGCCCCACCTTGGTCTCTACATGCCAATACACTAATGCACAGATGCTGTCAAGAACTATGGGCTTGAGTTCCCTCAGCTGAGTCTGGGACTTATCCCTCAGGCCAGTCAATGTACCTAGCTGGGCTGCAGCAGAGTCGCCTGATTGGCCAGCCTAGACAATTGGCTGCAAGGAACCAACAGGTTTGCATTTAAGTTCAGCAGGAATGCTCACACCTGAAGCTGTGATCATGCCTGTGCCTACCTCATTCTTGTCCTACTCCAGCCCTGCTCCCTTGCCTGGTTCCTGAATCTGGCTCTGACTCCCTGTTTCTGGCTCTTACCCTGAGGCCAGACCACAGGGATGTCTGTGATGGTGCACCCCATAAGGCTTTATGGAAATATGCTTATGAATGTATATATGACATAACTAGAATATGTTTTATGCTACATATGTGATGTAACATATCTCTGTAAAGGTTATGGTCTACTGAATCTATTCATCCTATCTGTATGCATGTATTGGTTTTATATTTGAAGTTATGAATATTGGCTGTGAACTGGCTTGATTTTTAAATAGCCTTTGTAAAGCATTTGGTCAGCTTCTTGAGAAAGGAATGTGCAAATTAAGTGCCCAGTCAAGAAGCACTTAAGGGACAATGGATCTTGGAAGGCTCCAATCCACATAAGAAGTCTACATGAGGAAGTTCAAGGTAGCAGGTAAGCAATGGCTGCTGCCTGTAAAAACTTGAGTCATGCATGGACATGTGACTTGCCCATGTGACTTCAAAACTCCATCTTGGAGCTGGACTTTGCATAGGAGAGAGGAGGGGGTCTCCACCCATAAGAGAAAGTCTATTTAAAACCCTGAGAGACCCCTCCATTTGGTCTTCAGCTGGCCAAAGAGAGAGCCTCTCCACCCCCAAGGATACCTGAAAGAAACTGGAACAAAGGACAATAAGTACAGGGGGTGTGAGTGATTGTTGGACTCAGACTAGAAGGAGGCTAGTCTGTAAAAGGAAGCTTACTGGAATTCCTCTAAGGGTGAGGTTTTTATCTGCATTCAGTTTTATTACTGTATTAGACATAGATTTGCATGTTCTATTTTATTTTGCTTGGTAATTCACTTTGTTCTGTCTGTCATTACTTGGAACCACTTAAATCCTACTTTCTCTATTTAATAAAATCACTTTTTACTTATTAATTAACCCAGAGTATGTATTAATACCTGGGGGGGGAAACAGCTGTGCATCTCTCTCTGTGTTATAGAGGGCAAACAATTTATGAGTTTACCCTGTATAAGCATTATACAGGGTAAAATGGATTTATTTGGGGTTTGGACCCCATTGGGAGTTGAGCATCTGAGTGTTAAAGACAGGAACACTTCTTAACCTGCTTTCAAGTAAGCCTACAACTGTTAGGGGCCGTGGTTCAGACCTGGGTCTGGGTTTGCAGCGGGCTAGCAACTCTGCCTCAAACCAGGCAGGGCACTGGAGTCCCAAGCTGGCAGGGAAAGCCGGGGCAGAAGTAGTCTTGGCACATCAGTTGGCAGCCCCAAGGGGTTTCTGTGATCCAATCCATCAGTGTTATTTAGGAGAGTGTCCTTCCCTGCCCCCCTCCTGAGTTTCATACAGGAGGTGTGCTCCCAGATGGAGTTCTTAAATACAGCACAGCCTTAAGCTTTGTCTACACTGGAACTTTATTGGAAAAACTTTTGTTGTTCAGGGGTGTTTAGGGGGCTGTTTTAGGGTTGTTGTTTTTTTTTTAAACAAAAAAAAGTTTTACCGATGAAAAGCACCTGTGTGAGCTACTGCCACTCATTGGGGGTGGAAGTTTTTTGTCAGCAGGAGAGCTCTATCCTGTCAACAAACAGCAGCTACACTGCATGCCTTTTAGTGACACAGCTGTAGTAGCACAGCTGTGTCCTAAAAGGTGCGTAGTGTAGACAAAGCCTTAGTGTGGAATGTGAGCTCTGCAAAGAAGAGGTCCCCCTGGGGCAGAGAGTCAGTATTTTGTACAGATGGGGCACTAAGGCATAGAGAGACTAAGGGCCAGATTTTCAAAGGTATTTAAGGCACCTAGTGGGATTTTCAAAAGTGCCTAGAAGGTTAGGTGCTTTGTAAATCCCACTAGATGCCTAGCTGCATCTTTGGGTGCCTAAAAACATTTGAAACTCTGTCCCTAAGGCACTAGTAGGATGTTTCCAAAAATCAAATTATCTATTCCAAGCTTGGTGAACTGCAAAAAAGTGATAGAAAGTAGTCTATATTTTTCTGCACTTGTTTCAATTGTATTCAAGAGATAGTGTAAAAAAAAAAAATTCAGAATATACATTAAAATTTTAAACCTAACCAGTGTCCCTTAAGGGACTTGACACAAGATGTGAGAACATGTTACTCTTAGAGCTGAGTGGGCCTAATATTTAAGTCTCTCTTTTAATATAGGAATTAGAGACAGCGTTTCTGTCAGCTAATTTCTAAGCTATCTACAAAAAAAACCTTAAAGTTTTCAGGTGCCTAAGTAGCCACTGGAATCACAGTTACAGTCCCCCCCCCCCCCCCCCCCCCCCCGCAAATCTGAAATGAAGCCCCTGCCACCCACATCCTGGTCCCAGACAGCAGTGTGGGAAATAAACCAAAATTCAAGGAAAAGCAGCACTGTCCCATAGGTGACAGAGAAGATGATCAAGCATATGCGTCTGTAACCTAGTAGGGTGACTCTCAGCCTAAAAGGGCAACACACTCAGAGAAGGTGGCAGAATGGGCTCAGTTGCCACAGGTTTTCATCAAAAGACATCTTCTTCTTGCCTAGGGGGAGGCTGTTCTTCCTGAAGCTATTGCTTCTGCCTCCCTCTGGAAGAGAGGGGGGCTGTAGGACTTCCCTTGTCCTTCACTCCCCCACCTTCCTCCAGAGATGCTGCTGCTCTTCCTTCCCCCAACCTTAGGGGAAAGGGCTCTGAAGCTTCCTGTCCTCCGCCTGCTTCTCTCAGGTGGGGAGTGGGGTTCCTCTTCCTCCTATTGCTGTTCCCTTAGTCTGGGAGGCAAGGGAGCTCCCCTTCCCCTTGCTGTTCCTCCTCCATGTCTTCGCTTTCTGCCCCCAATTCTCCCACTCTTCCTGCTCGCATGCGTAGAATTCAGACTGGTGCTTGGATTTTGCATATAGGTGGAAAAGAAATAGAAGGGACATTAGTCACCACACCACGGTGGAGTTTAAACTCATTCTAAGTCCTGTTTTTATCCTGTCTAACTTTAGACTGGGGTGACTGATGGACAAATAGGGATGCCTGAACTAGGGCATGAAAATAATATTTTTCAGAGAATTTGGCAGGTGTCCAGCTGAAGATGTAGCTATGCTATTTATTCAAAAATGACATTTTAATTGTTTTCTGACATGTCATGATTTTTCAGCCAATCTGATCGCTCTCAGAACATTGACATGGCTCTTTAGGAATCATTTAAGGGGTCACTGTAAATCACAGAGCATTTTCTAGGCGAGAATGATTTTGGAATCTTCATCGTTATGGACTGGATCAGTACTAGGGACACCAGTATTGAAAGATTATCAGCAACATATTAAATATGGAAACCCATCAACTTCCAGATCAGTGCAGAGCTCTGAGGCAGAAATCAGACTACTTAAATTTCTTTTTGGGAGACCTCTGTCAGGTGGGTACAACAGAAACTAGGGAGGGAAGAACAGAGGGTGGCGTTAAGCTTGTTCAGGTGTTCTTCAGACAGAAAATTCCAATCTGAGGTGTGTTTTTAATGAAGGGTGTGTTAAGCTTGAGGTCAAAAAAATGGCATAATTAATCTTAGCTCTTGATTTCCATGTCTTTAATATTTGTTTCTAAATAGTGTGTACAATGGCAGATGTTCTTTGAATTAGCATTTAGTAACCTTAACTGTTAGCTAACAAAGTAGTGTGTGGAAACACATGTAAAAGCCAGAACAGCTTCAGATACTCTATCTAGCCTGGTGATTTAAGAAAAGAAGTGGCTGGCTGACTGTACATTTCTAGGACTCCTTCTGTGTAGACTAGGTGAACAGCGGAATTAGGGTCTGTCTACACAGGGATAAAAAACCCATGGCTGGCCCGTATCAGCTAACTTGAGCTCACAAGGTTTGAGCTCCAGAACCAAAAAATTGCTGTGTAGACATTTGGGCTGAGGCTGGAACCCAAGCTCTGAGACCCTCTGCCCTTGCAGGGTCCCAGAGCTTGGGCTCCAGCCCGAGCCCAAATGTCTATACCATGATTTTTCAGCCGCAGAGCATGATCCCAAGTTAGCTGACCTAGGCCGTCCATGGGTTTTTTTATCCCTGTGTAGCCATAGCCATGAGCAATAATGAGTGGGTGAATCTGAGGCAGCTGTTAAGGCTCTGACTCACCTTACACCACTGTAACCCATAAATCAATTAAGTTGCACTTACATAAGTGAGAGGAGAATCATGTCCTTTATGAGCTGTAATGGAAGTTCCAAGAGAGTTTGAGAAGCCAAAGAGCTGGACACTTACCACTGCCTACAAATTAAGAGATTAGTTTTAAATTAAAAACTCAAGTTGGGATACTGAATGGCCCCAAAGGATTGAGTGGCATCTGCTGTGAAAATCACATGACTTTCCTCTTTGTAATGATGAGTAACAAGGTACACTAGAAAGAGGTGCAACCTAGGCATCTTAATGAAAGAGAGGGTGGAGGAACTTGAACAATAGATGAAATCATTGTGGGGAAAAATATCAAAGTCAAACCATACAGAATTTGAAAGAAGACACACCCAGGACCCTTCAGGATGAGTTCACGTGACTCAGATACGGAGGAGGAGAAAGACACAATGGCAACCAGGAAGAACTGTAAATGCAAAAGGCATTAATACTGACATCCAACCTTATAAGGGATAGATTATTTTATGCTTAAAAGTACAAGTCTGGAAGTCAGGAGGCCTCTGTTCTATTCCCAGCTCTGCCGCAGATTCACCGTGTAACCCTGGGCAAGTCATTTAGCGTTCCCACGCCTCTGTTTCCCTATTCTGTAAATATTATAATGCTTCCTTACCTCACTAGACCATTGTGAGGACTAATTAATTATTCTGAATTGGTTTCAGAACCTTGGATGGAAGAAGTTAAAGCAATGCAAACTAATAGCAGAAGCACTGACCACAATAGATTTTCTGCCCTTGAGAAGAAGAGCTGCTCAAGCACTTCTGGCTGTGCACTCCATAGTGAAGATCCTGACCCAAGATATCTGTGATCCAGATTAACAGAACAGCACAGTATAGCATGCTGCTTTCTGCAGGCCAGGCTAGGGGAGGAAAACGGTGCAGTATATCCTTCAGAATGTCCACTGTACTTTACAGGAACAAGTGACTAAAGTAAAGGAGGACTAGATAAGATTAAGATGAGGCACAGAGGCACCACCATGAGGAATGATATAAATACCTAGATTGATTAGACAGTCTGGAAGGAACCTGGGACAATGGAGGCAATATTCAGAGATACTTTAAATAGTAACTGTTGTGGAGCTGATACCGGAGACAGTGTGAACTTATTTGTGGAGGAGAGTTGGAGATTCATAAAGTAGGGGAAACCCCTGTGATATAGAAATGACTCTTCAGATCAGTTTGGCTGTGTTTACACTAGCACTTTTGTTGGTATAACTTACATCGCTCAGGGGTGTGAAAAACACTCCCCTGAGTGACATAAGTTACACTGATAGAAGTGCTGGTGTGGACAGCGCTATGTTGGCAGAAGACACTCTCCCATCAACACAGCTATTGCCACTCGTTGGGGGTGGTTTAATTGTGTCAACAGGAGAGCTGTCTCCCGTCGTCTTAGAGCGGCTACACAGGAGACCTTACAGCGGCACAGCTGCATTGGGACAGCGGTGCTGCTGTAAGGTCTCTAGTGTAAACATAGCATTTGTCTCCACTTAAGCAGAAGAATTACCTCTTGGATTCACAATTGGCAAGATCTGTTCAAAGAGCTTTAAACTAGGCAAGATGGGGGGAAAGGGAGAGCTTTTGTCTTTGTGTCTTAGTACTTCCAAGACACAAAGTAAGGCAGAAGTGGGGTTGTTTTATTTTTAATCTTCTGTTTCTCAAGTGTTAACATACTTGAGTGTCCTTACACAAATGCAAAGAGTATGGGAAATAAGTAAGGAGAAAGAGTGAAACTTCATGATTCTCATTACTGGAATGTCTAGGGACAGAGA